CTTGCAGCTGGGCAGCCAGCAGTGAGCTGCTTCCCACCCCGTGGGTCCCAAAATCGTCCTGTGGTTCCCCCGCACTGAGCCGCACGGAAAAGCTCCTCTTCTGCTGAGCCCCCGGTAAGCGCAGAAGGGACGAAGGAGGCTGTGGCACCGGGGTGCCTATGGCTTGCTTCCCTGCCTTTCCCTAGGCAGAAGTGCCTCAGATTTCCCCTTTGTTTCAGGAAAATTCGGGGAATTATGGAAAAGAAGTAACGATACATTAAAAGCATCGGCTAGCAAGCGCTATATCCCGGTCTAGCTGGCGAGTTAAAAAGGAAAGCAATTCTGGGCATTAACATCAGCGTTTTCTGGCTGCTGCAGTGGTTGTACTGCTGAATGTACCGCTAACGTCGTCGCTCCCCAAACACCCCCCCGGAGACGTGCTCGCCGGCTCCCTCCGCACAGCGGAGCCTCGTGCCTCTCCTCCGGCGCCGGCTGCCGCAGCCGGACACGGCGCTGCCCGCTGAACCCCTCCAGTGCTGCTGCAGGATCACAGGCTCTGCCTTTGGAACCCGCCTTGGCACAGGAACACCAGGCCGGGCAATCAACCCCTATGCTATAATTATTAAAAAGCAATTGATTGTCATTGATTGTTTTTACGTCCCCACCCACGCGGGGCATTAGGGCGTTCGGTGTCACGCTGTTGAGACGGGAACTGAGAACGCGGGGTCTGAGCCACTCATCCTCACTGCAGGGGGGTTCCCTGCTCCCTGCAGGGGTTGGGCTGGATGACCTCTAGGGGTCCCTTCCAACCCAAAACATTCTATGATCCCATGATCCCTTCCCTCTGGTAGGGAGAGCTCACAGGGGTGTTACCAGACCAGCTTACGCACCCGCCAGTCTGCCGTGACAGCTTCCATTCCTCCTGGAGGTGAAAAATAATAAATAAATCTGGTAACAGGTATCTCCTTACAAGACAGGACTTGGCAGGTGCCAGTGGAAATCCTGGAAAGCTCTGGCCTGGTAAGGGCGGCTGCACTGCGTGTCGGGTCCACGGAGCCCGTCCAGCCGCCTGACT